AGGGCAGATGAAGTGTGAAGGGGCCATCTTTACCCAGAGACACTAGCTTTGTGCCTGTCTCATGGGAGACAGAGGTTCCCTGACTATCCTTAGGGAGTGGAGAACAAACCATAGATACAAAGACTGTACTCCTGCCTGTATCTGCTACAGGTGGGTGGTGAGGCTCTGAAGTTATTTAACTCCAAGGGTGAGTTTCCTCACTAGCAAAGGGAGAAGGCTGGACTGGGTCATCTCTGGGGTGAACCAATAACCAAAAGGCTGTTCCAAGGGTCCTACAAGCTAGTGTAAGGACTTCCCAACTCAGTGCATTTGCATGCTGTGTTCATGCTTTCCGCTTTATCCGAGTACCACTTACTGCATCATTCAAAAGCCCTGTCTGTATTTTCTTCAAATTGATTCATTCTTACTTGCATGTATTTAAAAAAATGTTTTTATGCCACCTGCTGTAAGAAAAGATAATCATAAAAATAAATGCACAGCTATTAAAAAGTTGTTTTTCCATGCACCATCTAAGATCATCTCTCCCTGCACCAGAGTTATGTACCCCACCCTCTGGAGAAAACTAAACTGGCATTCATCACATCAAGTGCTCTGTACTAATAACCATGACAGGTAAGTCACATACACTATTACATCATTTAATTCTCAGTAAGCACACATCTGCTCCTATGATGGTGCAAACTATTATTGTTCCCATTTCACAGATGAGGAAGCTAAGGCTGAGAGATGATACAATTCATCCAAATTCTCATAGATACTCAGCAGTTGTGTGAAGGGTCCTATTAACAAGCACTCCTTTTTGGACAGCACAGCCCATTGTGGGCAGAAGTGTCTTTCCCTGGACCCAGGTAACAGTCACAACAATGTCCTCAACTGGCCCTCACCCATATTCTTGGTACCATATTTTCCCAGAACCCTTTGTAACATTCTCACAGGGTTGATACTTCAATCATCACATGCTGTCACAATGTACATAATGGTGTTACAGCTGTGTTCTCAGAGGGATGAAATGATAGGATGCAAATTTCCCTTATTTTTCATTATGTCTACTATCTTATTTTTCTACTGAGAATATGTGTTGTTTTTATAGTAAGAGAAAAACAGCAGAAGGCTTGAGCTTGTTTTTAAACACAGTGTCACTTACCTTATTAAAGGAATGCACATGACGACACCAGGGGAGTGACAACGTTAGAGGTAACTCCAGAGAGAGTTCTTCATGCAGTGAGGACAAACACTCAAACCAAAACACTGTGGGGTGGGGGTGTTGAGGAGGGGCTAGATTGGCCTTTACCTTCACATCAATTTCTCTGAGGTAGGTGGTCAAGATGGAAGCCCCATCTAGCAACTTGGGATCACCACCAAAACAAAAATGGGATGAACTGCTAGTGTCAGCAGAACAGCTGGTTAACGTCAGATGTTACTAAGGCCCATATCCCAGCTCAGACTTCGAACAGGCTTGAGGACATCACAACTATTGATACAAGGCCAATCACTGAAGCACACTCTCTCCCCACCTTTATGTATGTACTGGGGTGCTCATATGTTCCAGTAGGCATGAGACAGTCCCAGTTTCTATCACACAAACTGCAACTCCTTTCATAGTGTCCTAGTTTGGACAATATACTACATGCTCACGCAGAAAAGGGCACTCAAGTATTAGATGGTAGGTAACACAGATGAAGCAAAATTCAGTTTCCCATGATATTACTTCTGACTTTCCCACCAACCAGCTGAATAATCCTAGAAAACTGAGGCTGGACAAAGACACAGAAACCAAGAATCCTGAGCTAACCCTGACTATCTGAAGTGGCTTCCTGGAGTTCCATGTAGAAAAGAATCTTAAGGCCACACCTGGGCACAAAAGGGAAGGAAGCGTGTTTTATCAGCAATTCTAATAAGGTTTCCCATAGGCAGGGCAGGGAGGATAGGGGTGAAAGGCAGTCATGTGCCTTGAACAACAAACCCTTCAACTAAACTTCAACTAAACAGTCTCCATGGGTCCTTCTGCTCTGACATTTGAACTCTGAAATGATCAGGAAAGGATAATTATTACCCCTGATTTATCCAGGCTCTGTGGTCCAGGATCGTTCTGCTATTTGATAGTCAGGTTATCATGATAAGCAAAATAGTCTAAGCTGTCAGGATAATGGAGGATCAGTAGAAGGAAGCTCTCCCTGCAAAGAACAACCCCAAACAACCTCTGTTGGAGGGTCTCCAGCAAGAAGATAAGAATCCTTGGTGTCCCCTACGTGGCTACTTCAAGATAGAGGAGTTTCAGGGGAAATGGAAATTTTTTCCACTGTGCTCTGGCTGGTATGGCTCAGTGGAATGAGTGCTGACCTGCAAACCAAAGGGTCACTGGTTTGATTCCTGGTCAGGGCACATCCCTGGGTTGTGGGCCAGGTCCCCAGTAGGGGGTACACAAGAGGCAACCACACATTGATGCTTCTCTTACTCACTTTCTCCCTCCCTACCCATCTCTCCAAAAATAAAATAAATAAAATCTTTTAAAAAATTTTCCCCACTGCTCTCTTGAAAGTTTTCCTATAAAGTAATCTTAAGATTCTTAGCCAAAAGGACATATGTATCATTGCATCCAAATAAGCACACTGCCCAAAGTAAGTTCCCTCCTAAGTTTGGTGTTTGTGAACAGGATGTCTGAATTGCAAAAGAAAACCAGTCACTGTAATGCTGGCACGTTTTGATAGCCCAGCACAAGCAATAAACTTAAAATAGTCTAGGTTCTCTCTCAAGATCCTGTTATTGTGGTAGAGGAATGTGTGTCTGTGTGTGTGAGTTCACACAAAGATTTAGCTGAAATTACAAAGTCAAGAAAGAGAGTGACAGAACTTCTCGCCAAGATGGAGGTGTAGGTAGACATATGTGCCTCCTCGCACAACTGAAATAAGGACAACAATTTTGAAACAAAATAACAACCAGAACTGACAGAAAAATTGAACTGTATGGAAGTCTGACAACCAAGGAGTTAAAATAGACACACTCATCCAGACCAGTAGGAGGGGCAGAGTCCAGCAGCCAGGGGAAGAAGGGTTGTGGCAAAAAAAGTGGTGGCACCTGGCGTGAAAGGCAGTAGCCTGTGGACCCAGGGTGCACAAGTGGCAGCTGGCTGACCCAGGGCGCGGGGTGGCAACAGGCAGAACCAGCAAGGCAGCAATTGTGAGGTGGGACATGGCAGCAAGGTGGCTGGCTGACTGGGCAGTTCAACATTTGTACGCAGATAAACCAGGTGAAACTGGGGAGCAAGACAAACTGCGCAACCCAGGGCCCCAGCGCCAGGAAATAAAGCCTCAAAACACTGATTGAAAATACCCATGGGGGTTGAGGTGCCGGGAGAGACTCCCAGCCTCACAGGAGAGTTCATTTGAGAGACTCACAGGGCCCTCACAGGGTCCTACAATGTACAATAGCCAACCCACCCGGGAGTGAGCACCCAAAGGGCCCAGTTTACTTGGTGGAAGCGGCAGAAGTGACTGAAATCCAGTAGCAGAGAGCAGAGCAAGCTCCAGTGTTCCCTCTCAGACCCCGCCCCCACATACAGTGTCACAACCAAGTGACTGGGTTGCCCGGCCTTGGTGGACACCTAAGGCTTCACCCTTCATATGTAACAGGAGCAACAAGACAAAAAAATATGACCCAAATGGAAGAAGAGATCAAAGTTCCAAAAAAAAATACGACTAAGCAATGATGAGATAGCCAACCTATCAAATGCACAGTTCAAAGCACTGCTGATCAGGATGCTCACAGAATTGGTTGAATTTGGTTATAAATTAGTTGAAAAAATGAAGGCTATGCTAAGTGAAATGAAGGAAAATGCGCAGGGAACAATAGTGATGGAAAGAAAACTGGGACTCAAATCAATGGAGTGCACCAGAAGGAAGAAAGAAACAATCAAACAGAAAAGAATGAAGAAACAAGAATTCAAAAACATGAGGAGAGGCTTAGGGAACCTCCAGGATATCTTTAAATATTCCAACATCCAAATTATAGGGGTACCAGAAGAAGAAGTGGAAGAGCAACAAGTGGAAAAGTTATTTGAACAAATAATAAAGGAGAACTTCCCTAATCTGACAAAGGAAATAGACTTTCAGGAAGTCCAGGAAGCTCAGAGAGTCCCAAAGAAGGTGAACCCATGGAGGAACACACCAAGGCACATCATAATTATATTAGCCAAAATTAAAATGAAGGAGAAAATCCTAGAAGCAGCAAGAGATAAGGGAACAGTCACTTACAAAGGAGTTCCCATCAGACTGTCAGCTGATTTCTCAAAAGAGATCTTACAGGCAAGAAGGGGATGAAAAGAAGTATTCCAAGGCATGAAAGGCAAGGATGCACATCCAAGATTGCTCTATCCAGCAAAGCTTTCATTTAGAATGGAAGGGCAGATAAAGTGCTTCTCAGATAAGGTCAAGTTCAAGGAGTGCATCATCACAAAGCTCTGATTACATGAAATGTTAAAGGGACTTATAGAAGAAAAATAAGATAAAAAACATGTATAGTAAAATGATAGCAAACTCACAATTATTAACAACCACACCTAAAACAAAAACAAACTAAGCAAACAACTAGAACAGGAACAGAACCACAGAAATGGAGATCACATGGAGGGTTAGCAATAGGGGAGTGGGAGGGGGAGAGAGGGGGAAAAGGTAGAGAGAACAAGTAGCATAGATGGTGGGCAGAAAATAGACAGGGGGAGGGTAAGAATAGTATGGGAAATGTAGAAGCTAAAGAACTTATGACCCATGGACATCAGCTAAAGTGGGGGAATGTGGGTGGGAGACGGTGTGCAGGGTGGAGGGGAAAATGGGACAACTGTAATAGCATAATCAATAAAATATATTAAACAAAGAAAGAGTGACAGCAAAAGAAAGAGGTGGATCTTGAAATAACAAAACAGGAGTTGTGGAAAACACTCATCACAGCTGTTCAGTTCAGTCCTGTCATTAATCTACTCAAACCCAAGGACACACTCAGCTCACCTTGTTAAGGCGCCCAAGCATTTCCTTTAGCAGCAGTTGACATTCACATTCATTTTCATATCTGCAAATTGGACACAAAAGTAAAACCTGAGCAGCTTCCATAATTCCACAAGTGTTGATCACACAATCAGCATTAAATTTAATCTGATATGAGTACTATACCTTCTCTTTCAGAAGGGGTTCCTAATGTTACAGCAGAACCTGATGCTACATTTCCAAGCCCACTGATTCCCAAAGTCTTTTACGTCCAATAAAGTGAAAAAATGCTTTGACTTCAATTATCTAATTGTTTTACATAATTTTGGTTTTCAGCAATTTGGACAGTTGACTATATTCATCATTGTAGTTTGATGGTTTTATTTGTTTTTATTTAATTTGATTATATTGACCCTTTGACATACTAAAAACCTGATTTTAAAATTATTAAACTATTCAAGTAGAAAATATACCTAACAAGGCTGTATATACCTTCCTCTTTCTGTATTATTTTCACCAGCTTTGGCTAGCCATCAGCTCCCCTCTGGAATTCGAAACCCAACTTGGTGTGTATATATCCATGCATGTGAATGGTTATGGCTTTAATTGCTTTTATAATAATTTTCAAATTTCACTATCCCATTCAGAATATTGAAACTTCCCCAAGGGGGAAAGAGAGGAAATAAACTTATAGAAATTATTAAATAAATCAGAAAACCTGAAGGGACTGCACTGTGGTAGAGATATAACTCAGAACCAAGTGAAATCAGGAAACGTCAGTACAGCCATTTCTTTATCGGAGGCTCAAGGGAGTCATACTTGCCCAAGCCACATCACAGCAGGCCCTGGTCTAACGACCAGGTGAAGGCCATCTGGGGATCTGTGGGCTCCTATTACCCAGAGCTGGGTGTCTGAACCAGCAAGCACTTCCCTTTGTTGTAGAGAACATGAGCTTTATTTGAATGAGGTCTAGTCCTATCGCTGGATCTCACTCCACAGGAGTCCAAGAATGACTTCTCTCCACAATAGTGTTCTAGAAAGAGTATAGACCTGGGGCAAGAAAACTCGAGTTCAAGTCCTACCACCCAAATGCCCTCTCCAAGCCTCAGTTTTCCCATGAAGGGCTATAACAGGTGAATTTTCAGGTCCCTTTTTCCAGCTCCAAATAAGATTCTCTGAGTCAAAACCAGAAACAGATTGACTGATAGGAATGGAAGCAATGATTTGACCTGATAAATATCCTCAGTACATAGTGTTGAATAACCTGCCCAAGATTTGGACTGAGAATGTGGAACTCAAACAGAGAACATGTTTGGACAAAGCCCTTTGGCTGCCCTAAGCCAATGTGTTCACTGGAATTACTAGTGAAGCTCAAAAAATTAAAATTCCTGGGTCCCACCTGAGGTCCAGGGTGGGACCTGGATATCTATGTATTTTTAATTAATTTATATAATTTTTAAATGGATAAACCTCTTATATGGTTAGACAGTATTTTTAAACTACATAAAAGGATGTTAAGTTAAAGTCCCCCTCCTACTTCAGTCTCCCAGGTCCTACTCCCTATGCCCTAGTGTAACCTCTATCATTAGTTTTTTGTGTGTATTTGCATCTTTTTTCCTTATGCAAGCAAAAAATTCTACTCTTCTTCCTTTCTTTTTTAAATAAATGACAATAACACACTATTCTTGTGTTTTTACAATTGCTCGGTATTCCATTACAAGAATGAAGCACAATTTTACAACCTGCTTTCTACTGATAGGCATTTAAGTTACTGCCAGGCTTTTGCTACTGCAGATTACACAGCAGTGAATATCTCTGGAGACACAAACTTGATGTCTAATGGAGTATCATAGAGTAAATTCCTTGAAATGGCCATGCTGAGTCAAAGAGCCCACACATTTATAACTTGGAACGATGTTGACAAATTGCTGAGTATCCTTTTTCTTTTTAATGGCTCATTTTAATGCATTATTCAGTCTTCCAGAAGTAAGACCATGCCCCGGACCAAGGATTATGAAACTTCAACTACCAATCACCAGTGAACCGTGTTAAAATGCAGTTTCTGATTCAGGAGCTCTGCAGTGAGCCCAAGAGTTATATCTCCATTTCTAACCAGCTCCTGAGTGATGCCAATGCTGCTAGTTCATGGACCACACTTTGAATTGCAATTTCCAGATGTTATTTGTGATGTGTTGAAAACAATTAGGCATAACCTGCCCAACACTTCAACCCAGTCCTAGTGCAGCAATTCACTAGCTGAGTGACCTTGTTCCAAATCCCGACATTTTCTGAACCTCAGTCTCCTCATTTGTTAAATAGGTGCAGGCAATACCATCTATAACTGGCTGTGAGGGTTAAATAACATTAATGCATCTCAAAAGTATTGTGCTGAGCAAAAGCAGCTAGACACATAAGATTACATCTGTAATATTTCATTTTTGTGAAATTCTAGAACGGGCAATAGAAATGAGAATACTGGATGCCTCTGGGTTTCTCTGGGATTGGGGGTGGTTCAGGATGACAACTGAAGATTGACTTGGAAAGGGCAGAAGGGAACTTTCTAGGGCAAAGGAAATATCTTGCTTGGTTAGTAGCTACACGGGTATGTACAATTGTCAAAACTCATTGAACTACGTACTTTAAATCTGTACGTTATTAGATGTAAATTATACCTATATTTTTAAACACATTAAATATAAATGATAACATGTGAAGTGACATCAAAATAGATACTAGTCTCATCAGAGGCAACTGCACCACGTGCATGCCCCAGCCTCAAACAGAGATGACGACCAGAAGCCAGAGACGGCTCTCTAACCTTGGGTGGGAGCCTGCTGTCCTATCCGTACTTTGGGTGCCTCCCTGCCCTGCCTCAGTTTCCCCCACAGTGATGCTTACTTGCTACGGTACTCTTCCAGTGCACGCTGTGCCTCTGCGCCCTGGCGTTCCAGTCGGGCGCGCTCAGCCGCCAGTTCGCCAGTGCGCTGGCGGTTGCCTTCGACTTGGTGGACGAGGGACGCCTCAGGAAAGGCCAGCTCGCCCAGGCGCTGAAAGGCATCCAATTGCCGCCGGAGGACACCATGGCGCTGCTCCAGCACACGGGCCCACTGGACGTGGGCGGCCACCCGCTGCCCGAGCTCCTTCAGTGTTGCCAGGTTGGGCGCGGTGGCGGAGCCCTCTGCCAGGCGGTCGGGAACCTCCTCAGAGCGCTCATACTGCTCCTTGCGGGCCTGGAAGACGTAGCTGCTCCTGTACATGGCTCTTCTGCGGGCGAGGGTGTGCAAAGCCTACTCCAGGGAGGCCCGGTCAGAGCCAGCAGCCGGCTAAATAAACATTGGAGGCCCCTGTGCACTGCCGGAACGTTCCAGAGCTAATCAGCTGTTGAGCTCGACACTGTGCCAGCCTGAGGGAGAATAAAAGGCAGCAGGTCTGGTTTTGTGGACTGGATTATCAGACTATGCAGCTCTGGGGCTTGGAAGGTTAAATTGGGCAATGAGGTTTTTGTTCTGTAATTGTTAAAGCCTGTTGCTATATGATTGAATGGGGTCAGGAGGACAAGAGGGGCATGACTTTCTTTTGATTGGTTCCACTAGATTTATGAAGGAAGCCCAAGGAGCTTATTACACATGGACTAGATCAAGAGCCCAAGGACACCTCCCTTTGTCTGTGTCTCTTTCAGCCAAGCTTTCAATTATAGAACTTCTTAACAATACCATTTTTCTTATTTCTTAAGTAATTCTTTAAAAAATACATTTTATTGATTATGCTATTACAGTTGTCTCAGTTTTCCCACTTTGCCCTCCTCCACCTGGTTCCTCCATTCCCTCCAGCAATACCCCCTTGCCCTTAGTTCATGTCTATGGGTGATGCACAAAAGTTCTTTGGCTTCTCCATCCCCTATACTGTTCTTAACATCTGCCGAATGTACTTCGGCACATTTTGTGCTTACCAATTTGTGCTTCTTAATCCCTGAACCTTTCCCCTCATTTTTCCTAGTCCCCTTCCAAACTAATAACCCTCCAAATGATCTCCATAACTATGATTCTGTTCCAGTTCTGCTTGTCTTAATTTGCTATTTGGATTCAATTATTGATAGTTGTAAATTTATTATTTTAATGATCATCTTCTTATATATAATTCCCTTCAGCATTTCATATAATAATGGCCTGGTGATGATGAACTCCTTTCATTTTACCTTGTCTGGGAAGCACTTTATCTGCCCTTCCATTCTAAATGATAGCTTTGCTGGGTAGAGTAATCTAGGTTGTAGGTCCTTGCTTTTCATCACTTTGATACTTCTTGCCAGTCCCTTTCTAGCCTGCAAAGTTTCTTTTGAGAACTCGGCTAACAGTTTTATGGGAACTTCTTTGTAGGTAATTCTGCTTTTCTCTTGCTGCTTTTAAGATTATTCCTTTATCTTTAATCTTTGGTATTTTAATTATGATGTGTCTTGGTGTGTTTCTTCTAAAGTCCATCTTGTTTGGAACTCTGTGCTTCCTGGACTTGTATGTTTATTTCCTTCACCAAATTAGGGAAGTTTTCTTTATTTCTTTAAATGAATTTTCAATTTCTTGCTCTTTCTGTCCTCTTTCTGGCACCCCTATGATTCAGATGTTGGTACATTTGAGATGTCCCAGAGGTTCTTTATTCTATCCTTTTTTTTTAAATTCTTTTTTCTTCCTGCTGTTCTGATTGAATGCTTTTTCCTTCCTTATGTTCCAAATCATTGATTTGATTCTCAGGTTTACCCCTCCACCATTGGTTCCCTGTAGATTTTTCTTTATTTCACTTAATGCAACCTTCATTTCTTCCTGGGTCTTTTTTATGGCATTGAAGTACCCAATGAGTTCCTGGAGCATCCTGATAAATCAGCATTTTGAACTGTGCATCTGATAGGTTGTTTATTTCCATTTCATTTAGTTCTTTTTCTGGAGTTTTGCTCTGTTTTTTCATTTGGGCCATATTTGTTTGTTGCCTCATTTTGGCAGCCTCCCTGTATTTGTTTCTGTGTATTAGGTAAAGCTGCTTTGACTCCCTCTTTTAGCACATCTGTTAAGTTTTATGGGGTGAAGCCTTAGGTAATCACCAGAGTGGGGCAACCAATGTCACTGCTCTGTTGCTCTGTGGGGGGGAGGGTTTGCCAAAGGGACAGTGTCACCACCTGGCCTCTGGAGTTTTGCCCAGAAGGAAGCTATCTCCCCACTCTCACTTCATTTTTTCCCCATATGCCAGTGGTGCTCTTTCAACTGTTACCCTGGTGCTGAATCCCAGAGCGGTTTGTGCATCTGCATAAACCCTAAATCCACTGTGGGCCCTTTAAGAGGATGCTGTTTCTTCCACTAGCCCACCCCACACTGGTTTTTACAGCCATAAGTTATGGGGACTTATCTTTCTGGTGCTGGAACCCTGGGTTGGGTGATCTAGATTAGGGCTGAGATCTCTTGCTCCCAAGGTATTCCTCCCAATTTTTATCTACCACACATGAATGTGAGGCTGCCCATTCCCATCTCCACACCTCTCTGTGTCTCTGCCCCTCCTACCCATGTGGATGGATGTGACTTCTTTATATCCTTGATTGTAGGACTTCCACACAGTTCAATTTTCTGACTATTCTGGGTGATATTTGCTTTGTAGTGTAGTTGTATTTTTTGCTATAGTTGTGTGCAGAGGCAAAGCATGTTTACCTACACCTCCATCTTGACCAGAAGTCTACAAATCTTTTTCTTAATTACTGTATAACTTGGCATTTAGGAATGCTCCTTGTGGTAGGGATTCTTGACAATAGATGCAAAATAAAATTCCATGTCTCAATAAATTGTGAGGTGTGTTGCAAGTAGAAAGTTCTTGTGTACATTTGGAAAGAATCTACTCTTTGTGCAAAAACATAGGAAATAAACGCACAGTTATTATTATAATGTTGTTACTGGATATAGTCTAGGCCCAGAGTGGGTCTGTCTTGAGCCCACCAGTAGTGTGTGAGTTCTTGACTTTGTATAGGAAAGATTTCACAATATCAGTGCAGGTGATTTTGAGAGTATGTTTATTAAACCTGGGAACAGTGAAACAAAGGAAAGGCTTAAGGTAGAAGAAGCAACAGGAGAAAGTCAGAGAAAAAGTGGGCCTTGGAGACTGGTTCAGGGGGTAAGCCCAGACAAGCTGCCACTGCCCACTGCTCCTCTGGCTGCAAGTCTCGGGGGCTCCCTCAGAGTTAGACAAAAATAAGTAGAGATACAAGGCGCGGGTATGTTCTAGTGAAAGCACACCATGGATTCTTTGTCTTGAAGCTTTTTATCTCTTTGGCTGGCCAGAATCCTAGGGGAGGGTCTTAATAGAATACTTAGTAGCCTTTCAGGTATGACCTTCGATACGTTAATTCATCAAAATATATGCATAGAGGGATTAGAGTTATTTTTCTGGTTGGTTTTATTTTTAAATAATGTCACTGAAGATGGACAGGGCCCGAAGCCAGTTTGCCCTGGGATAGTCTAGATGTGTAAACCATCTGCTCCTAAGTGGCCTTGGTTAGAAAAGATAAAACTGTGTGATTCATTAGCAGGCTATAAATTGCTGAAATTGTTTGGCCTTGTTTAATTATTTTGTCTCAGTTTCCCTTATTCCAAGAAATTTCCCTAGCTTCTTACTGTCCTGCCTCAGTGTCACCCCTGCTCTCCTGGGTTCTGACATCCTTTCTGGAGTGGGAGAAACAACTAGAGCTCCATCAAGACATTTACATAATAGATTGTTTGAACTAAATAGAAAAATTCTGGTAGCCTAAGATTATATAATTGTCATACTCTCAAAGACTATAAAAGATTTTTTGGCCACCACATTTAATTCTAACTTGTATTATGAAATTAAAGCTAGGCTTTGACAAATTTAAAAGATGCTGAAAGAAATTGCAGACGCTGAAAGAAATAATAGCATTTGATTAAAATTTTATTAAATATAAATATTCTGCCATATCTCCAATTTAAAAAATTATTCTTAAGGCTATTTTGTAAAAAATAAGAATTAGTAGTACTATACATACTAGATGATTAACAACTATATGAACTGTGTATAAGTATAGTATAAACTCATGGTTATCAAAGATCAAGAAAATTACACAGATCTTTTTTTTTGTTTTATTAGGGTTTATCGGTGCTCCAAAAAGACTGTAACATAATAAATTTAGTCTGGAATGATGCTATATAAGGTCCCAAGTTGTGTTGGCAGTGTGGTTATTGTTTTCTTTTCTTTAGTCACTTAATAATAAAGTTTATGATCAAATCAAGAAGAGCCTAATGAGTATATATGCAGGTATACATATACCATGCTGATGGAATGGTAGAGAGCAAACCAACATAGAACAAGGGTTATAAAATCATTGTTCCCTATGACATCATGTGTCAGTCAGGTATCATTACAGAACAAACTGACCCCAAAATTAGGTGGCATATAAGAAGTATGTATTGCTACAGTCCCAGGTCTGCAGGTCAGGTAGATAGCTGTCTTTCAAGCTGCAGATCTTCTGATTAGCTGGGGCAGCTCTGCTCTTACTGTCTTATTCTCCTAGAACTACCAGTGACAAAAGGACAACAGCATGCTCAGCTGCATGAGCTCATTCCACCGACATCTCATTTGTCAAAGAAAAATCACATGGCCACAGCCAAAGCAAGGAGGCAGGCAACAGATATGGCAAGGGTGTGAGTGTGTAATTCTCTCACACTGGAGTAAAGAATGGGGACCAGAAACTCAGTCTACCACATAGTAATCCCTATGTGGTAGGGATTTTTTCTCAAAATTTCTCTCATTTGAGAAAAATATATCCCAGAAACATAACAAAGGAAAAATATTATTTTAATTTATTCCAGTAGAACAAAGAAACTGTCTAGAGCACTTAGAAAATGTCTACTCACAAGGCATAGTCTTACAAAGATCAATATTGAACAAGAACAAGGCCCAACCTTCAAGGTGCAGGAAATAGATTCCTATCCAACTAATGAAGACACTGTTAATGTAAGAAACACCCGAACCTCTAGAGAATTCTTACAGGAGTTTATTTGAGCCCTGGCTGGTGTGACTCAGTGAACTGAGTGCTGGCCTGCAAAAGGAAAGGTTACTGGTTCAATTCTCAGTCAGGGAACATGCCTGGGTTGTGGGCCAGGTCCCCAGTTTGTGGCGTGCAAACAATAGATGTTTCTCCCCCTCTTCTTCCCTTCCTACCCCTCTACAAAAATAAATAAATAAAAATAGTTTTTAAAAGAAGTGAAACAGATGATATATGCCAGGGAGCAAGATCCCAAATGCTCCTAAGAAATAGAGTTTTGCAACTTCTTTTATGCATTT